TCAGAATTTAAAACCATTTCTTCATTTAATACTTGTCGATTCATATACAAATAATCAAGCCATTTTATAACTTTTGATTCAAGTTTTCGATTAACTGAACGAAATTTCATATAACGTTTTATTTCATCCATTTTTTCACGAACTTGTTGTCCTACAGAGAAGAAAAATATACAAAAATATGCTTTAATATATTTTTTTTATACGCGATTGATTTTGAGTTGATATCATTGTACCAAGATTACCAATAATAGTTGCAAATATCAGTATACCTATATATATATATAATATTTTCTTTATTTCTAAAATTGTAAGGGTGTGAGCTTTAATTAATACCCACACCCTCGTATTTTTTAGTAAATAAATATTTTCTCTGAAGATGTATAATATTTAATTGTGCATTTATATATTACACATAGTATAAATAAGGTATCATTAAAATATACTCTGAACTCATAACTATTGAATATAACATAAATTCATTCGATATTAATAAGCATTATATTCAATTTTTAAAGGTTTCAGTATTTTTTCTATTAGGGGCTTTAAATAACGTGTAATGAAATATTATCTGACTAAAATTACTATGAAATCTGAAGACTAATCTTTTTGTTATATATTCTGTACATGGTACATACCAATCATATAATCAAACAATACAAATAGATATTCTGATCTTGTAACAGGTAATGGAACATCTCCAATTGTACTCAATAAAAGTGTTGACCAATAAAAACAATAAGTATAAAGCATTGCAACTGTTTCATTATGAGCCGAAGCTGGTAATACCCATTCATCACTGCCAAAACCCAAATGTTCACAAATAAGAAAATAAGCACAACAATTCCTAACAAGAAAAAAAGAAAGATTCTTCATTTGGAAAAGAAAAGATCTTACCAATGAATCAATGTTAATGTTAAACAACTAAGTACACCAATTCGAAATGCATTTGGAAATCTCGTACGTGATTCAGTTAATTCTTGAAATTGTGAAAGTCGATTAACTCTTATAAATCTATTCGAACGAATAATTGAAACAAAACGGAAAGTTGGAATAAAATATAAAAAATCAGTTGGTATGATAGATAGAAGATCATATACAAAAAATTGTCGTGATAAAAAATAATTACGTTGTAATACATGATGATTACGAACAAAAAGACCATGACTAAAATAACCTGGAAAAAAATTTATACAAATTAAGAACTCATTTTCTTTTTTTTCTTACCTGTTCTCGATTGTAGAAAAATATCGATTAAATAAATAAAATCAGATATATAATCTAATGAAATCCAAATATATCGATAGTTTTTATCAAGTTCAGTAAATGCATAACGAGCTGGGATTAAAAGAAAATTATACGAGATAGCAAGTGAAATAATTCCAAGCCAATATTGATAGAGGTGATCTTGTGGATCAATAACGAAACCAGTTCTAAGAATTGTAAAAACATTGTTTTTAGTTTTTTATATAATGAAAACAAAATAAATAGTTTTCAAATTTACGCTTCATAATCTTCATTTCGAATAGGTTTCTCAGTTTTGTTCTTTTTTTCTTGTAAAAGACTTGTTTGTTGTTCATCTTTATTCTTTTTTGTTATAGGATGAAATATACGTTTTCGAAATTTCTATACAAGAAAAATACAAATTATATGAAAGAAAATAAATGAATCTTTGAATATAACCTTTATTTTGCTGTTTGGCGTACTTGTTTGTTGTACTTCGCTTTCCGTCATTATCACTAGTCGAATGCGCAATTTTTGTTGCTTAGATTAGTTCTTAGGAAAAAAAAAGAAGGAAGTTAAGACGATGATGACGTTACCATAGAATTGTTCTTTTCCTTCTTGTCATGAAAAAGGTAAGGATGTGCGTTCATCCCTTTTCTTTTTCTCTTAACATGATAATATGTGTTAGAAAAATGAACACAGATTTCTATTGAAGAAAAGAACAAAAGAATCACATTATGAATTTTAAGAAAAATCATCTTTACTAAAATGAATAATTAATAAACAACCCAAATTTAAGATACTATATTAAATTAAGCATTAAACTTACAAGATTTACATAGGTAATATCTAGGTACGTATTTCTTCTCTTAGAAATCATTAATAAAAATATATTTTTTTGTATTCAAGTAATTAAAAATTTTACAGATACATAATATAAGAATAAAATCCGATCAAATGATCATCCCATATTTTCATGAGCTTTACTTTTCTAATCCTATAAATAATGTTCGAAGCAGCAAATGCTTCAGGCTATTTTTGTAGCATACTGACTCTTCGCCAAATTTCAGGCGTTACCCGGCGTAAGTACTGTGAGTTCTCGTCAGCTCTAACTTCAATATATTGTACTCACATAATGACACTGGCGAAATTCTGGAATCCCATTTTTATCTCATTTCAAAGTTCATTCAGTAAAAAACAATAAAAGTATACAAGAACAAAATATTTTCGGTACAAAATATACAATAATAACGATACGTTTATTTAATAAACAATGAATATAAAAATCGAGAGTTAATTTTATCTAAGTTGCTCAAATAAATTTACATAAATTTTACATGAAAACAATTTACACTCGATTTCTTTTATTGGAAATATATTTAAAGATCTGTTGGTATTGAATAAATATTTTTTGTTATATTTTTTGCTGCTGTAATTATTAAATCTATATCATTTATCACAATCTGTTCGTTATGTATAAATGTTGTCGTTGTTCGTCTTTGTAATGTTTGTAAACGATTAAAATCACGTGTTATTACCATTGAAGCATATTCAAGTTCCATATTATTTGATAATTCTAATATACTAAGAACTTTTTCAATTGGAAATTGTAATGGTAAATATTCAGATAATTGAGTAATCTATTTTAAATGAAAAACGAAGCTGATATAAAGAAACAAACATATTTATCTTACTAATTTTGGTTTAACAAATGGTTTTAATAATTTAACTTGTCGACTAAACATCCAAAGAATTGTTTGAAACCAACCAAAAAAATAATTCACAGGTTTAAGTGTTTCATTTGAAAAAAGTTCTTCAGATGTTTGATTCAATAATGAATGATAAGCATCAGTCACACTTGTATCTTCATATTTTGGTATAATTTTATTGATTGAATTGAATTCTTTCCATGATTTAACATGAAACAAATCTTCTAATTGATCATTATTTTGATTGAATTCAAGTGTTAAAAGTATAATCATAATTAAACTTGTACTATAAACATTTGGTTCAAGCATAAATTCATTAGATTTTAAATTAAATAAATAAGGTAAAGCTTGTTCTAATAAACAACGTGTTGAGGAACGTCTTCGACATAAAATTAAACCAAATATAAAATAAAGTGCACGACCTGTTTCATAAATTCCATCGGATGTATTTGTATTTGTTAATAAACGAATAATTATGAAATTTAATGGAACATATTTTGAACAAATATATAATGCACGTGATTGTTCAGAATTAAGAAATTCACTTGTTAAATATGTATCAAATAATGATTGAATAAGCCATGTTGATGTTTGAATTGATGAAGTAGATAAATGATTAACAACTGATGTTGATGATACTGATGGAATTATGGAATAATATGGTAATAATGAATTATCAATAAAATCTGTCCATAATTGACGTTTTATAGCATCGAATAATGAAGATAACGTCGAAGTGGAATCCGTTGTTGCACCTAGAAGATAAATTTAATTTATTTCGGAAAAGAAACTTTATATTCAGAAGAATATATTTTGTATAATAGGACTAAACAGTAGACTTACTAGAATTTCTCATGTGTCATTTTATAATATAGAGAAGTATAGTTCTGTTTAAGTTCTAAAACCTCGATTATTTTCTTTTAACTATGACCCATTTGATAAAATAGTCAAAAACCAACATTTCGAATTTTAACGTGAAGCTTTGTCTAGGCTATATACTCCGTAATTATGGAATAAAAGTCAGATTAAAATAAATTAGACATGAGATCAAACAGAACAATTCAATATTCTGTAATTCAAAGCGAATCATCTTATAAATTACAACTATCAAAATAAGTAATATACATCAATTGAATTTTAAAAAAATCTTAGTTTTTACCAAATTCGTAGCCAGAAGGGGCGCATCCCCCTTAACCAAAAAATATCTGAAGGTGAATACTAGTAAAGAACCTTGTCACAAGACAAGAAATTATTTTCCCGCTGGTATGTACACCTCACATGCAAAATTCCTGGCTCCGCCCCTGGTTTTTACATTTAATATACATAAAAGTGTAAAATGGATTTACCCATTGTATGAATAGTATTTTGTATCCATGGTCTTTCATCATCATTAGCTATTTGATGATTAGCTATAAGCCAAAGAAGTATATGTACAAGTGTTCCATATGAAACATGCGTTAAATAATTAATTAATTGTAAAATAGTTTGTTTTGTTTCTTCTAATGATAATGATTGAAGTTCTTCTAGGAAATAAATTGTTTTTGATAAATATTCAATATTTGAATATTTTATTTGAATATTTTCAGCATTAAAACATTTAATATCCATTAGAAATTCTTCTTTTTCTGTAACAGATATTTCATTTAATGAATTATTTGTTATTGAAAGAAAATCACTTGAATATAATGATGATGCAAATAATGCATGACCAATATAACGTGATAACCAATATTTTTTTAACCATATATAAACAAAAGATATGGATGATGATGAATCACAATTGATTTCTATGTGACCAAAATCTTCTGATGTATCATCTGTAATTGATGTTACATAACAAAGTAAACATAGAGCAAGATCAAATCGTATTTGAGTATATGATAAAAGTAAACGAATAAATTCATAATATTGATCAAGTGCACATATTAATGGAATAAAATCAGTTAAATTATTAATTAGTATTTCAAGATTTTGTTCTTCATTTGGTGTTGAAAATATTTGTTGTAAAGTATTTTCTAATGAACGTTGTAAAGTAAGAACTTGGAATGAATAGGAATCTATTAAAATAAAAAATTCATTACATATTTTATCGAATTGCAAGATCTTTAAAAAAAATGAAACGAACGTGTTTGATGATTTTGATAATATTTTTGAATTTGTTGATTGTATGGTTGACGAATTTGTTGAATATAAAAAATTATTTTATTAATTTTATCTTCATTTGCTATTCGAATATCATTATTTGTATAGTTTAATGTTGTTTGAAAAACTTGTTCCATTACATTTTCTAAACATAATTCATCCATTCGATTAAGTATATATTCATTATGTAATAAAAATGTTTCGATAGATTGTTTAACAGCATCAAATTGTGTTTCAAGACATGATGCTAATATACGTGGTAATTGAAAATAAATATATGCTGACCAACGTTGTTGATATTCACTATTATTTGTTGATACTGATGAAACATAACCACCAAATGATGCTTGAAGAAAACGAAGATATATTAACGATGGATTTGTTGTACAAGAAACATGTTCATAGAAACGAAGAATTAATAAAAGAATCGATGATGATTTATGAAGTTGATTAATGACAAGTAGAGAAACAAGTGGATTAAAAATTGAAACATTAAATTCAATATCTTCTTGATGAAATTCTTCCGATAAATGAAGACGAGCTATTCTAAATAATAAATTTATATTTTTTCATTGATATATTTTATTGATACAACAAAACACTTAACATCATACAAGTATCGCTCAGCTCTTTCTCGTAAAAATGATGTGTCTTAACTATCAGTAAACTATTTATTCAAACAATTTCATAAACTGACTTCAGCTTTGAATTCCACGATCTTGATAATCGCTCGGTCAACCCTTATAAAAAACATTTTTTTGTAAAAAAGTGTGGTCCTTTGTTTAAGAAAATGATCTGCAAAAAACTAACATCAGATTTGAAGTTCCTGCATCGAAATACCTCAAGAAATGTCTTTCCCAAAAAATTGTTCTTCGATGTTCTTTTGACCCTGAGAACACACAAGTAATCAAGCAAACAGTCTATTTCTGCTGGACTCTTCACTACGAGAAAGAGAATAGGATAAGAATAAAAAATTAATCTTCCTTTTAGTTTTGTAATCATATCACAAGAGTCCGCACAAATTTTCATTTAAAATTCTCTTACTTAAAAATAACTTGTTCATAAACATCTGGTCTATTAGTTTCTTCAATTGGCATTTTCATTGAGATTTGTTTTAATTTTTCTTGAATTTGTTTCCATTCTAATTGTTCTCTTTGTCCTTTAATTGTCATTAACCAAAGACAATAATAACTTGTATTTGTAAATAATAAAAGAAAGAAATTGGAAATTAATGTAAGCATTTCTTTTCTTTTACTATCCACTTCGTTATTTATATCTGATACATCAGAATAAACACATAATGCTGAACAAAGCCATTTAGCAAGTAAATTTAATTGTTTTCCAAGACGAACTCCTTGATCAGCAATGATATGCATTGTTTTAAGAGTTTCATATAATAGCTCAATTAGAAATTTAATTTGTATATCATCTGTTCCTATTGATGATGTTGGTGTTAAAGAAAGAAGATGTTCAATAATTAATGATTCATTAACATAACCACATCTTGTATGAAATTTAAAATAGGATTGAAGAAGATCAGAAGATATTGCTGAATCAATATGTGCAAGAATTTGTGCTAAATATAATTGTAGAAATATAACTTTTTCTTTAATAGATTTTTGTGTTTCTTACTTGTAAATAATGTTCGAAATTCTTCTT